CTTGGTGAGGGTGAGTGAGGAGGGTGGGGGGGGGAAGAGGGCGAAATGTTTTACTGATTCGCCGGTTTCTTTTGCTAGTTACTTGTTAATCCAAATACATGTCTTACCTTGACCACACCTGTAGACTCTTGTCAAGTGCAGGCGAAACTCATGCTTTGCGGAGCTTTCTAGGAGAACCAGCCAAATGCCCCCCCCCCCTCTAGCTGAACTAAGTCGTATAGGCATTCAACGATACGTAATTTGTCTTTTCACTACGCGCGATTTCTTTCCAATCTTGAAACAAAGAGTCAATCTCCCAAACTCTTTTTTTCTTTCTTCCAGGAGAAAGGAGAGGAGGAACGGAAAAATCGCCGGCAGGGCTAATTTTATGTGCCTCCAGAGAATACCACCTGTTCAATTCTTCGTGAACGCGTTTCGTTCCACCTTGCTGTTTATGGCGTCGGAACTCCTTCCGTCTTTTCCCATAAAACCGTCACATAATGAAATTGGTATGGTCTGCACTCCTGCTGGGCGCTAAGATCACATGCACGCCTCTGCCCCATTCTCCAGTTCCTCTCACATCGCCGCCGCTTCTACGGGGATGTTTAGCCGGCTGAGGCACTAGAACCAGTCGCCACTACGTTCCTCAACGAAACCGCCGCCGATTTGGCTACTCATTGTTCGGAAACGGCTATTTGCATGGTTTTCGCTACCATTCTAAATCTCCATTGAGAGCATTTAGGAGAGAATACCCCCTTCCTCCTTCAGTGCTTGAAAGATCTGCAAAAGCTCTATTCTCTGTGACTTATTCAGACATATGTAGTAGGATTTCACTCAGGAACTGTAGATGCAATCCTTGATTTTTATCGATTTCTGCTATCCTAGCCTTTCTGTACTGTTACTGTAGCATCCTATTCTTCATGGAATCCCTCTAGGACCGTTGTGAGACTGGTTCAGGACGGACGAGACGGTACCTGAGATGCTTCGCTAGAGATTCCGGTCGCGATTGTTTTTCTGCACCAAGTCTTACTTAGCTCTTGTCCGGGGCGGACACGGGAGGAGTCGTAAAAAGCTTTGAACTCTAGCGTAGCAGCGAAATGGTTCCAGTTTCGCCTGTCATGTCTCGTATTTTTTTATGCTGAATATCTTTGGTGCTGGTAAGTGCAAGGAAAAGATTGTGAATTAGAGGGATGGAGTTTTAGTGGGGGGATGGACCAACTTCAACCCATTTTGTGAAAATCGATGTCTTATTCGAGGCCAGGGCACGCCATCATTGTGATGATCAGAACGGGGGGACCGCGAAGGATGTCGTACTTGGTCTGAGAAAAACTTTTTTTTGATAGTTGA